AAAAATGTCTGAAAAACCCCACTGTTCTCTGTTGATGCTGCTGCTGCTGCACAGAATGCATTTGTTTGTCTATATGCATGACTATGGGAATCTTTTCATTTCAATACCTTCATATGTGTGTGAATGACTCATTTACACTCGTGTAATAGTGATGCTATAACCTCTTGTAGCCTTATTATCATGTATATTGGCTTAATTGAGTTTTATACATAAAGGCCTGCAGTTGAATTAGATGTTTAATCAGGATTTGAACCGGAAGTCAAGTTTTTGGCACAATTTATGCTGCTGCTGGTGTGAGTGTGTGYTGTAGTTTTGCTTTGCTGTTGATTTAGAGAGAGAGAAACTGGTGATTATGTGCTGCTGATGGACTTTTACGGACGTGTTTTATTATTTTTTTTTCCTCCCCTGAAAGCTCTTGTGTTTTTGCTCGTTTAGACCCAACTGTCCCTGAGGTGCATCCATCACAAAGCAGAGCGCTAAAATGATGGTTAGAAACGTGGCCATTACAAATACGCATCATCGTTCATTAATTGGGCCAAGCATTTCAGAGCAAACAACAGTAGAGAAGAAGGACAAAAAAAAAGCTCATTGACAAGACTGTGTAAACATTTAGAGAGAGAGAGAGAGAGAGAGAGAGAGAGAGAGAGAGAGAGAGAGAGAGAGAGAGAGAGAGAGAGAGCTTCACTGGTTTGGATCTCGGCTCTGATTGGCTGATTTTAGTTGACAGACCGTGATTTGAACACCAAACTCCATCATTTGCGCTCATGTTCGCTTATTAGCGGCGCGCACAGGAACTAACGAGGTGTTACCCGCTGCCACGTCACTTTTATTTACGTCCGCGTGACGTGACGACATCCGACACACGAGCCTGGTACATATAGGCCTTAAACAAGCCTTCACAGATAGAGGAAATAAGAAAGCTTTCCTGCATCTGGCGGGGCAGAGGAGGATGCTGGGGGGACCCACGCGCTCAGGTCTCCACGCATCAAAAAGCTGAGAACTTATTTAGAGCTCACGCCATTAAGGAGGCTATTTGTTTAATAAGATAAAGATATGCTTTGCCTCTCTCCATCTCTCTCCCTCTCTCTGTGTGTGTGTGTGTGTTTGAGTGTTGTGGTGCTAAATCGTTTATATGTGTGTGTGTTGGCCCGTTTCATTATTTTTTAATATTAATTATAAAAACGCGCCACCCCCGTTGTTGTGAATGATTTGTAGAATTCAGGCTTCAATATCTGTAGTTTCTCTTTTTACTGCAGCCGTGCAAAGGGGACGGGTGCCACCCACGCAGCCACACCACGGCCAGTTCGCCTTGACAAATGGAGACCCACTCCACTGCCATTCCTACTTATCCGGATATATCTCTCTTCTGTTGAGAGCGGAGCCTTACCCGACGTCCCGCTATGGCAGCCAGTGCATGCAGCCCAACAACATCATGGGCATCGAGAACATTTGCGAACTCGCGGCCAGGATGCTATTCAGCGCCGTGGAGTGGGCCAGGAATATTCCCTTCTTCCCAGACCTCCAGATCACCGACCAGGTGGCTCTGCTGCGGTTGACGTGGAGCGAGTTGTTCGTGCTCAACGCCGCGCAGTGCTCCATGCCCCTGCATGTGGCCCCGCTCCTGGCGGCCGCTGGCCTGCACGCCTCCCCCATGTCCGCGGACAGAGTGGTGGCCTTTATGGACCACATTAGGATCTTCCAGGAGCAAGTGGAGAAGCTCAAAGCTTTGCACGTTGACTCTGCCGAATATAGCTGCTTAAAGGCCATTGTGCTCTTCACCACAGGTAAGATAATGGACGACACTGGCACGCTCAGGTTCAGAGACATGTCACTCACCTTGCACTCTGACACACCAACCAAAAAAACAAATAAACAAAACACTGACCTCCAAAAACACACTGACCTAAATCTCCCCTGGCTTCAAGCTGTTGCTTCTATTAGAAGGACCTCCTTAAGTGTTCCTCTTTCCAAGCTTATAAAAACAAATACACGGACCCTTTAGACGAGTAAAATATTAAACTATTCTACTAATCAACTCACATTTTACTCAAAAACATAAGAATGAAGTAACTGTGCCATTGATAGATACTTTATTTTAATTGCGTTTGTAACTAAAAACAAATAATCTGGCTAGTATATTGGAAAAATAAAAGTCAGTTTGATCAAAACTAATAAAAGCACAATAAAAAAAATAATAAGAATATTCCAAAAGCCTGCAGATGATTTTCTAACACTTACAC